ACTTCTCTCTGGATATTAACCTCAGTCTGGGGCCCTCCTTGGTGCAGGCTAGTGATGCCTTCTCTCCAGCAGAGGGCGTACTCCCCTCCCTTAGTGGACTCAAAGCTCAAGATCCAGGAGGCCTAAGAAATAGGGCTTTCTCTTAGCCCAGAGAGGGTCAGTTTTGCATTTAAATATTTAAAAATGTACGTAAGTTTACCTTTACACTTTATCACATTCCCTGGGGGACTGTCCTTATCTATGATCACTTTCTTTAGGAGACACTTTCCTGGATAGAACCTGTGTCTAAACCAGCCAAACCTATAAACTTGACTGTAGTCATGTGGTGACTAACCAATTAGCTTAGTGGCCATAGACTAAACAAGACTATTGTCCTTACAAAACAAGTAAAAACACTGACAGATTTATTTTTATTTTGTTTACAATAGTCAAAGTGGCCTCAAATTTCTAACTATTCTTACAAAAATAGTTTCAGAGATTCTTTTTTAAAAATAATCTTCCAACTTAAATTTTTTTTTCATTGATTTCAGAGAGAAAGGGAGAGGGAAAGAGAGAAACATCAATGATGAGAGAGACTCATCGATCAGCTGTCTCCTGCACAGTCCCCAACCAGAGGTTGAGCCTGCAACCTGGGCATGTGCCCTGACTGGGAATTGAACTGTGACCTCCTGGTTCATCGGTTGATGCTCAACCACTGAGCCACACTAGTGGGGCCAAACTTTTTTTTTTTAATCCTCATTAAAATCCTCATTTAATCCTCATATGTGTTAGAGAGAGGAAGGTAGGGCAAGAGAGAGAGGAACATCGATGTGAGAAACATCCATCAGTTGCCTCCCATACATGCCCCGACCAGGAATCAAACCTGAAACCTAGTATGTGCCTTGACTGGGAATTGAACCTGAAACCATTTTGGTCCCTGGGATGATGCTCTAACCAACTAAACTACCTGGCCAGGGCAAAGTTTTCGAACTTTAAACATCATTTGAATTTGTGGATCCCACTCCTCAATACACATCTCAGGTGGTGGAAAATAACAGTCTCTAGTCACAGGTTGGTTTTTCCTGAACACAGGCTCTCAGCCAGAAGAAAGCCGGAGTGTGTGGAGGGGGAGGGAGACTGCCATGCAGACCCCACATCACTCCCATCAGCTCCCCAGGAGCTCTAGAGCTGGAGCTGGAGTTGTTCCAAGCTGGCCCAGGACAGTCGGGCCTTACACTCCTACACAGACCAGTCACTGGATCGGACCACGCAGGAGGGCATGACCTTAGGCCAGGTGGCACTGAAAACTGTCCACTGGTAGTGCTCATAGCAGCTCGGGGAACAAGTCCTTCAATGAAGGGGACAATCCACCCTGGGGTGGAGGCCACAGTGTCCGTGCTGCCATCTGCCAGGACTTGTTGGTGCCCTTCCCTTAGCCAAGCCCCTGCTGGGCTCAGATGTTAGGCTACTGTGCCTGCCCTGCTGGCTCTTGGCCCAGCCTAAATGTTTCTTTAAGCAGATCCTCTGCTTACTGGCCAATCTCTCAGTGGCAGAAGACCCGCCCAGAGAGATGGTTGTCTCTCCTAGAGAAATATGGGTGGTTGTCAGGTGGGAACCCTATTGTACAGAGAAGAAGTGAGAAGGTGCCAGCTTTGTTGGGGTGAATTTGTAACTTTGTCATGCCTCAGTTCTCAACACGAAAGAGTACCCTACATACAGCCACCCTGTTATTCTGACTGCTCATTGTTTTCCCCCTATATTTTTTCTTTTTAAATATATGTTTATTGATTTCAGAGAGGAAGGGAGAGGGAGAGAGAGATAGAAACATCAATGATGAGAGAGAATCATTGATCGGCTGCCTCCTGCACGCCCCACACTGGGGATCAGGTCCACAACCCAGGCATGTGCTCTGAGAATTGAACCGTAACCTCCTGGTTCATAGGTCAACACTCAACCACTGAGCCACGCCAGCTGGGCTGTTTTCCCCCTTAAATACCACCATCTGTGCCTACGCACTGCCTCTCTTCAATAGTGCTCCCCTTCTTCAATCCATATGCCCGTGATGAGCTGATCACTCCTGCTTGCTGACTGCTCCTGTGTCTATGAACTGCTCCCTCTTGCCCAGAGCTCCCTCTTGCCCGGAGAGGGGCCTTTCCCCAAGCTCATGTCTTCCGGCCTTTCTTTTCTCGCTCAGGCCACCTTTCCAGAACTCTGTGTTGGACTCCTCTGAGTGTGCAGCCCTGACCTTCTCCCCAAGTGCACTGGTACCCAGATGCCCGGGGGGTCCCACCTGCAGAGAAGATGTGTTGCCAAGCGGATTTGCCAACACAGCTGTTTCTCCCGAAGCAAAGAGGAAGGCTGGAAGCAAGCAGGAAAGTCAGCCCTTGGCACATAGCTCCATAGAACCCTCTGCCACAATAATGACAATGCTCACTAACACATAGCACTCAACTACGTGCCAGGCACTGCTCCAAGCACTTGACTCATTAACTTCTGTAATCCTCACAACAGCCCAATGCAATAGGTGCTATCTTGTCACTTCACAGATGAGGAAACTGAGGCACAAGGGGATAAAAGTTACACAGCTAGTACAAGGTAGAGCCAGGATTCAAGGTGGCCTGGGCCCCAAGGCCATACTCTTTACAACTCTGCCAGCTTTTACACATGTCCTGTGGGGATTCCCCCAATTCTTGGCTGACCCTGGCTCCAGAGGTAGGTGTGAGGCCCAGGCCAGGTATCCTGTTTCCATGGCCTCAGTGACTGGTTCAGGAGAGAGCATGGGAGCCAAGCCAGGCCCTGTGGTGCCCTCCCCCAGGACTCTCCTGCCAGAGCCTGGGAACAAGAGCCTCTCTCTTTCCAAGAAGGTGGCTGAGCCACCTGAGAATGGAGCCAGCACAGATTGGGGGAGGGGGGTTTGAGCTGGAAAGATAAAACCCTGAGGACAAGGCTGAACCCTGGGCCCAGCCACACCTATACTTGGCGGTTGTGCCAGTCAGCTAATCCCTTCACCTAGTCAGGGTTGGTTTCTGTCCCTTCTGAACTGTTGGTTACCTTTGAAGTTCCAGTGTCTTGTAGTAGCTGGCACATAGTGGCATTTACCTAGTTCAACATTTTTTATTGATAGCCTTTGGGGTCTACCCTGGCAGCTTTATCACCCATTCTCTGCTCTAGGCCCAGCCCAGGTTGAGCTGCTGAACTACCCTCCCCCACCAAGTACCCATCACATCCGCATCAGCTTTCCTTCCTGTGACCTCTCCTCTCTTTTTAGGTCTAATTCAATTACTTCTCTGCGGGGCCTTGATCACTGGGAGATGAATTGACAACCTCCTTCCTCTGAACCTTTGCTTTCACTACATGGAAACAGTTCGCGGCTCACCTACAGAGAGTGGCAGCTGCTCGAGGAAAAAGGTAGACACACCTGGTTCACCTTTGCACCCCTCCCCTTGGGGCTTGGTATTAGATTTCCTCACGAGCCATCTGCAGGGTAGGGGTGGCAAATATGCACCTCTGGGGGCCCAGCAGGTGACATCAGTCACGGATGCAGGCCAGGTAGGTCTCTCTTAAAGCAGGCAGCTCAACTGCCAGTTGCTCTGAAGTAATAAGGCTCCTAGGTTTATTAAGAGAAGCAGAAATTTATATGCTTATATAAGCATTCTGGGTTTTTAAATGTTAGCAATTAATTCACAATTTGAGAGACACTGTAGGGCAAACGCATTTGGAGATGCTGCTAGAAGTGAGGAGTGAATGACTCCACGTCCAGGGCTGCAGCATAAAGGTGTGCGGGGTGTGACCTGCGTAAGGCACTGGGCCAAGGGCAGGAGTGGGGCTGATGTCCAGTAGGAGCTTCACTCACCAAGTCACGTGACCAGTGTGATACTGTATCCAGCCAGAGGGCTGGTGGATTTCCAAAGCAGGCGGCTGCCCTTCCAAGGTGGACAGAGTCACAGTCAAAAGTAAAAACCACGTAAAAAGACCTGGTCTAGGATGACCCACTTGTCCTGGTTTGCCTGGGGGTTTCCTGGTTTTAAACCTGAAAGTCTCACATCCCAGGAACCTTTTAGTCCCAGACAAACTGGGATGGCTGGTCACCCTACCTATATCCCTGTTCCCACCCTGACCCTCTAGAGCAGTGGTTCTCAACCTTCCTAATGCCGCGACCCTTTAATACAGTTCCTCATGTTGTGGTGACCGCCAACCATAAAATTATTTTCGTTGCTACTTCATAACTGTAATGTTGCTACTATTATGAATCGTAATGTAAATATCTGATATGCAGGATGGTCTTAGACGACCCCTGTGAAAGGGTCATTCGACCTCCAAAGAGGTCTCGACCCACAGGTTGAGAACCGCTGCGCTAGAGGCTAATGATAGTGACAGCTGAAATGTTCGAGCTCATCAAGTGCCAAACCCCATGTGCTAGGACCTGCATGGTTTCCCTTATGTCTCATAACATCTTCATGGTGTGGCTTCATTATCCATTCTCAGAGGACCGTCGGAGGTTCAGAGGGTGAAGTGACGGGCCCAGGGCCAGCAGTGGCGCTGGGGTTTCAACTCACATTGGTCTGGCTCCGTGTCCTCGAACCCTCTCAGAGAGCCCCTGTCTGTAAAGACAAATACATTAGAAGGGTCAGGTCACTTCCTCAGGAGCACACTTACCTGATTGGAGGTCCCACCAGGATCAATTTTTGCAGGTCTGAGACCTCTACGCCTGGCCCCCACCGCTGCCCAGGCTCTTTCATTTCTGTACTTTGGCTCCAGCCCCTGAATGGGACCACCTGAGAAGCCCCCAGGGGACCCCTTTCTGTTTCTAGAACACCCTAGCCCTCTCCTGCCCCTCCACCCTGTGCCCACCGCAGAAACCAGGGATAAGGCTGGCACTTAGAAAATAAATGCTGCTGGGGATTTATTGCTTGGTCTGGGGAGAGCCATCCCAGGCTGGCAGGGGCAAGGGGGCAGGGCATGAGTGTCCGGGGTCTCAGGGGGCTGCTGAGCTAGTCCTTTGGGGGCTTGCTGTGCAGGGTCTAGTCAGCGTTGGGGCCAGAGTGGGTGAGTTGGCTGGTCATGTAACAAATGGCTGAGCGGATGCCTTCTACAGTCCTCTGCTCCATCCTCTCCAGCATGCGGTTGACAGAGCGAAGGACCAGCCTGGAGGAGAAGGCCAACCTGGCGTTCCCCAGGATGCTGGAGACCAAGCGCAGACTGAGCCCTGGGCTGTGCAGCAGGTATGTCACGGAGATGTGTCTCGAGGCCAGGAGGCCCGTGGCCATGCTCATGGTGGCCTCAGACCAGACCAGGATGTCCGCCAGGGAGCTGATGGACCCCTCGCCCGCTCCCAGCAAGCTGGTCATGGAGCGCATGTAGGCGTTCTCCTCGCAGGCTATGTACAGACTGGAGTCCAGATGCCTTCTCCCCAGGGCCACCGTGGGGGCGCCAGGCAAGCAGGTCGCACTGCTTCCTGGGGAGGGAGGGACCGGTGGAGCCTGCAGGTCTCTCGAGCAGTCTATCAAATCCCCCTCGGTCACTGCCTGGGACTCAGCCGATGACAAAGCTTCAGTGTCAGGGTTCACGGCTTCTGGACCCTCAGATTTCTCAACAGCTTCGATGGTGTCAAGCTGGCTGTCTGCATCTGTAGTGCCCACGGCAGGCACATTTTGGGGGAACTGTGCTTCAGCCCTTGGGGTAGATGGGTCTAGGTCTTGCTCCCTGTCTGGGACACCCGCTGTTTGTGGTGTCTCTTCCTTAACCAGGGAGCCAGTGTGGGAAATCCTAAGACTCTGGGTCTTCCTCGAATCTCGCACCGGCCCAGCCCACACTAGGTTCTGGAGACTCAAGGATGTTTGCCGGGCATCTGGGGCCGGGTGGGCCAGCTGGGCCATGGCCTCCTTGGGCTCCTGACTGTGCCCTGCATCAGCTTCATCTTCATGCTGGTTCTCCTCCCCAGATGCTGCTGTGGCCTTGGAGGCGGCTGACTTGGTGGAGGCCGGATCTACATCCTGCCGTTCAGTGGACGCTGCACCGCTAGCCGCTGTGCCATCTGCAGGGAGGGAGACCTGACTTTGGGATCCCACTGCAGGGCTGTCTGAAGACCTGCTGTCACTGTGCGTGGGGATGCCGGCCTCTCCCCAGGGGACAGCGGTCATCTAGGCCTTCTGTTACTTATGCTGCTTGAGGGAGTAGTGATGGCCCTGCTGGGCTGAGTCGTCCAGGTGGTGAGGTCACAGGGGGCTGAGGGCATTCAACGATGTCACAGGCACCAGCAGAGCCAGGGTAGCTGCGTTTAGTGGGCTCAGTCCCCAGGACTGTTTATAGTCAAGTCTGCCAGTGCATACGGAGAGAAAGACCAATACATTAGAAAAAGGTGGAGGTGTGTATGCAGGTGCAGGTGCCACAAGGAATCATGATGGCTGTGACTCTGATGAAAGAGAATGGGATGCAGTTGTTCACTTATAATAAATGATGATATAAGGGACCACTCCCAGCACCTTCCCAAGAAGATGTAGTCCTCCTCTGCTCCTGTAACACAGTCAGGCCTTCTTGTGACCACAAGGGACCTGGCCTGAGAAAAAGCCCCACATAGAGGATGGTGGAGCCAGGGGGATTGCAGAAAAGTAGGGCAAAGCCTTAATCAAAATGCACCTGCAGCCCCCAGCCCCCAGCCCCCAGACTTCCTGTGATGGCAGGAGATTTGGGTCCAAATGGCTTTAGCAAGTTGAGCCAGGGCTTTTTGTTACTTACAGTCACAGGCAGCTTAAGGGATAACATCCCTAGTCCCTAGTCTAAAAGTCATCCAGGGAACCTAGTAGTAGATTCACCACCATCCTATCTCCCCCGAACACCCTGGCTCCTCTGGCCACTAGGGCCCTTGCTCTCCTGTCACCTCTCTCCTGCCTTGGCTTCAGACCTCCCCTCCCAAGACCTCTGTCCACACTGGTCCAGAAATCACCCCACAGAGTCCCTCCCACCCCCTTTCTTGGATTCCTCCTTGGCACTGGCGCTCAGCTAAAGCAGCTGAAGCCACATCCACAGACTAAGCACTACAGGGCTCACCATTTGAAGCAGCAAAGATTGTCATTTCTCCCCCAGAGTCTACACTAATGAGCAGAGAGCTATAACCCAATCTAGTCAATTGGCCCCTGGGCTCCCCAGTCTTTGGCCGGCTGCTCCTCAGGATGCTCCATCCCAGCTCTGGGCTCCCAGGGCAGCCTCTCTGCATATCAGCTCTGTAAGAGGGTCTCCAGGTTCTCCATCTTCCCAGAACTCCACTTCCTGCATGTTCAAGGCACAAGGAGATAGAGTAACCTGGGCGCCATTAGCAGATGGTATGGGAATTCCACCTAGAACATCACTGGGTTTGTTAGGAAGAAACAGGATAATCAGCCCCAGGGGGTGGAGCTGAGACCCCAAAGGCATTCTCAAGTGACAAAGGAAGTTGCTACCCAGCTTTCTAAGGAGGTGGATGCCATTAGCCCGAGGGCCTTTGTTTGGAAAGAGCTGGGTTTGGGCCAGGCGCCTACAGCCCAATTGTTCTGCAGGAGAGGGGGCGAGGGTTCTGGGAAATGAAGGCCGAGTTAGAGGGGAGCAGCAAGGCAGCTGTGCTGAGAGGGAGGGTCAGGCTTCCCTGGGGATGCAGCAGGTGAGGCTTGGGGAGAATAGAAATATCTAGGGAATGTTTAAGTTGTTTGTGTTGAGGTCTCCAGGGTACACCCATCACCTTCTCCACAACATCAGAAATCATACCTTGTTTGCTAGTGCTTTTTTTGTGTGAGTGCTGGCAGCTAGGGGACTACAAGGTTTTGTGTGTGTGTGTGTGTGTGTGTGTGTGTGTGTGTATTTCTCCTAGACAGTGGCTTGGAGCAGACGACTGTCTTTGGGGACACAGATACAGAGATAGTGGAGGGCTGAGTTACAAAATGGTGCTGGGACAATTGGTTAAGTATTTGGAAAAACACTAAGTTAGTTTCTAACTTTCACTTTCAGTTTTTAAAGAAGTAAATACAGAGAGGATTAAAGGCAAACTAAAAAAAAATATTTGATTTTGTGAAGGAGAAGTACTTTCTAAGCATTAAAGCCAGTAAAAAAATTCTGAAGGGGAAAATAGTCAGAGATAAAAAAAATGCTCTAAAAATTTTAAGAGCAAACCACAAACTGGGAAAAATATATTTGCTACAAATATGACTGAGTTAACATTGTATATATATACTAGAGGGGCCAGTGCACAAATACGTGCACCTTGAAAAGAACTGTGGGCCACTAGGCTGTGGTGGTGTCTTGGCATAGGGCGGGTCTTGGCCCATCCTCCATGCCCTGCCCAGCCCCTCCCGCCAGGGCCCCTGGGCCCCTGTCTGTAGGCAGCCCTGCTCCCAAGCTGGCCCTGCTGACGGCGTGGAGTGACTGGGGCCCGCACCAGTAGCAGGTACGACCAGGGCCCGCGCTGGCAGTGGGTGTGAGCAGTGGCTCCGGTGCTGGCAGCAGGTGTGAATGCCAGGTGGGACTGCGGCGCACGGGAGCAAAGAATTTTCAGTAACCACCAGAGGCTTGCCTCAATGACGGTGACCGGTGCCCTGCCTTGGTCTGGTGCCCCTGCTCACCTGCCCCACCATCCCACTGTGGCCAATGCCCACCATGTTCGGCACATGCCCCCTTGTGGTCTGCGCACATTATAGCGACCAGTTGTTTGGTTGTTCCAGTTGTTCCACTGTTCGGTCTATTTGCATATTAGCCTTTTATTATATACTAGAGGCCTGGCGCATGAATTCGCGCGCGGGTATGATCCCTAGGCCTGGCCTGTGATCAGGGCCATCTTCCCTGGCTGCCTGCAGCTGGCCCCGCCCCCTGCCACCACCCACCCCCCCGCTGCCACCCACCCCCGGTTCCCTGTTCGTCATTAGGCGATTGGAGCCTGCTGGCTGAGGGGAGGGACCAAGAGGTCAGCCATTCCACCTGCTCCCTGGCCCTGCCCCCCACCCCAGTTCCCCATTTGCCATTGGGCAATCAGAGCCTGCCAGCCAGGGAAAGGGACCAAGAGGTGGTCAGTGCGCCTCATAGTGACTGGCCATCTGAGGCTTGCCTGTGACTCGGCCGGCCCTGGGCGGCTGGGGGGCTGAGGGGAATGGGGGACTCCAGAGGCAGGTGTGTGGAGTGGCTGGGCCCGCCTGAGGGTGGGCCCGGCCTTGCTACGCACCTGCTGCCCCGGAGGGGCTGAGGGGACTGGGCACCACCATCTTGTGGCTGTGGGCACCGCCATCTTTGAGGGTGGGGCAGTCAATTAGCATATTCCCTCCTTATTGGCTGTGGGTACTGCCATCTTTGTGATGGCGTGAGGGTCAATTAGCATATTACCATTTTATTATATAGGATATATATATATATATATTCCAAGTAGATTAGATGGACCAGACACCATTAGATACCCAGTAACACAATATGCAAAAGATGAGAATAGACCATTCATCCAAGAAATCTAAATAACAAATAAACAAAGGAAAATATTCAAATATATTAATAGTAATATTCAAATATATTAATAGTAGTCAAAGAAAGATATGATTAGCCCTACCTGGTTTGGCTCAGTGGATAGAGCGTTGGCCTGCGGACTGAAGGGTCCCGGGTTCGATTCCGGTCAAGGGCATGTACCTTGGTTGTGGGTACATCCCCAGTGGGGGGTGTGCAGGAGGCAGCTGATCGATGTTTCTCTTTCATCGATATTTCTGACTCTCTATCCCTCTCCCGTCCTCTCTGTAAAAAATAAAATATATTTTAAAAAAGAGAAAGATATAATTTAAAAATAAACTATCTTTAGGTAGTGGTATTATAAGTGACTTAAAATTGTTTTCTTTGGCAAACTGCATTTTCTAATTAATTATTTTACAATTACACTTATTGCTTGCATTAAGAGAAGATCCTAAAAGGTAAAAGCACATGATACCATTAAATAACAAGTGAATAGCCAGAGTCAGAGATTTCTAGTTGTGGTGAATCACGGGCAAATTTTTTCTTTCAACAATGAGTAAGTATTACTTTAAGTATTAGAACTAATTTGCAAGTTAAAATAAATTCCTTCTTTCTAACCTCCCAGAAGCCTGTGCTCTGCATGCAAATAGGATTCCTGGGGCCACCCAAAGGCCCACTCCACAGTGGGAAGGCAATTGTACTGAGAGACCACCCCTCCCACATCCCTCCCTGAAACAAAGGGGTGCTTCAGCCCTCCCCACACCATATACACACCCCTTAGGGCTGCCCAGCCCTTAGGACACCTCCATCTCCAGGGCCCACCCTCGTCTCTCCTGACCCTTAGGTTTGGCCTGCCAGCTGCTAGGAGAGGACTCAGGGCCAGTGTGGGACTGCCCCAGGGCCCAGGGAGGAGGGGCAGGCCCCCAGACCCTTCAGAAGCCTGGCTGGTGGCTGTGCAGTGGCCTGAGGGGGCTCTGAGGGGCTCTGGTGCGGACCAGCCTTGAGAGGGCGGAAGTCAAACCATGATCCCTCTGCCTGCGGCATGTCCCCCCACCCACCCTTCTCATTTACTCCTGGGTGTCTGAAGTGTGTCCCCTTAAAAGGCACGTGTTGAAGTCCTAATCCCCAGTATCTCAGAATGTGACTGTATTTGGAGATTGGGCCTTTAAATTCTAACTGAGTTAGGATGAGGCCATTGGTGTGGGCCCTAATGCAGTGTGACTGGTGTCCTTTTAAGAAGAGGCAGTTTGGACACAAACACACATAAATGTCTATAAACCGAGGGGAGAGGCCAGGAACAGCTCCTTCCCTCACAGCCCTCAGAAGGAACGAATCCCTCCAACGTCTTGTTTCTGCCTCCTGCCTCCAGAACTGTGGGAAAATACAGTTCTGCTGTTTCAGCCCCCAGTCTGTGGTACTTGTAATGGCAACCCTGGCAGACGGATGCAGTGCTCTTGAGCAGGATTGGGCCTCAAATAGAATTTTTAAGAAGTTAAAGATAGGTGTCTGCTGGCAAAAAATTTATTATCCAGTTTGAGAGACAGGTCATCAGTCTGTTGTCACAACACAGCCCAGTGGGCCAAATGCACAATCCCAGCAGTGTGCCGTGGCAAGATCCAGGATGCTGGCTAGACTTACAGATAGGGCCAGCCGGAAGCCAAGCCATGGGGTACAGAGAGGTCACAGGGTT